TTTGGGGAGGGTCCAAGCAAGCGAATCTGGCGGAGGAGCCGAGGGCGGAAGTGACGGCAGGTGCAGGAAGGAAGCGGGGGCCCTGTGAGCCGTGGCTGGGGATGCTCAGAGTGGCCCTTGTGGCCTCGGTGCCTGCCCTGCCCCACCCCGTGTGACTGGGAAAGTGTGTGTGTGTGTGTGTCTGTCTCGACATCCATTTGGCCCAAGACGCTCTGGTTAAATGAATGCCCAGTTAGCCCCTCCAGATGTACACTCAGCCCTCCTGACCCAGGCCTTGCTGATGCCGCCACCCAGGGAGGTGGGGGCCAGGCAGGCCTGACTTTTTGTTACCCACCTGCCTCGCCCACCCCCTCAGCCCAGCATGAAGACCCCAGAGGGGGAGAGGTCAGGGGTCAGGTGTGCACGGCCCACAGTGGGCTGCAGAGCTGGCTTTCATGTCCGCACAGCCCAGTCCGCCTCCTGCTCCCTCACCCCTGTCTCCGTGCGGGACAGCAGGGACCATCTGTGCCAGGCACAGCAGACTGCAGGTGCTTCCTCCTGCCCCCTGGAGAGACTGAGGGGCTGGCTCCGGCCGGGGAGGTGCCCGCCAGCCCAGGAGGAGAGCAGAGAGGAGGGATGGCTGCAGACAGACCTGGTGTGTGCGCGTGCGTGGATGCCATTGCTTTGCGTGTTTACTCCCTCCCCACCTGAGAGAGGAAGGGCCCCTTAGCGAAACAGTTTACTTGCCGACTTGCCATTTTTGCCAAAACCAAGATTTTGAAGGATGTGTCTGTCTCCAGCATCGGGGTCCGGGACGGGGGGAAGCCTCCCGGGCGGGGGTGCTCTGCCAGGCCCCTCGCCCCGGGGTCTGGCAGCTCCCGTCCTGGGACGCCTTTGCTTTCCTTCTCTGTAGCCAGATTTTGAAAACTTGTTAGTCTCACTGGGCTCTGTTCCACAGTGGCCCTTCGCTATGTGCCTCCTGAGAAATTCGTCTCTTTTTGTATAAATGACAAAGTGTTGAAAATGTATTTCCTGAAATAAATGTTCCAAATGCAGACCTGGAAGGCTCTGGAGTGGGGATTTTTTTCTTTTTTCTGACCTCGAAAGTGCTCCTTTGATGAGAGGAAAGACGGCGTGAAAGCGGCTGCTGGGGAACTGTTTAACCTCCTTCCGGAGGGAGGGGGGAGGTCTCGGGGACTCAGAAGCACTCATTTAAAGGGATGATTGAAAAGCAGACAGAGAATCTTAATTTATTCATTAAAAGGAGACTTTGAAGGGTTTCCACAGGGCGGTGCTGTGAGCTGCTTCTATTAGTGTGTCCCTGGAAATAAGTTTTTCTTCTTAAAATTGAAATCTATTGCTGTGAACCCTATGAGCTGTTCCGTTTTTGACAATAATTTCATACCAATTTATTATTCCAAGAGAACTTGGTCCCCCAAAGACTAGGATTTAAGAGGCTGCCATGAGAGGTTTTATCTGCACGCTAAGTGCCGGGGAGTAAGGCCGGGGGTGTGGCTGCAGAGGCCCCTGGCTGTGCACAGACCTCAGCAGCCCCTTTCTCCCTCCGTGGCAGAGTGGCCCAGGGCTGCTGTCACAAATCACCACAAACTGGGCGGCTTAAAGCAGCAGAAATGGGTTTTCTCCCAGTCTGGAGGCTAGATGTTCGAGGTCACGGTGTCGGCGGGCCAGGCTCCCTCTGAAGGTCTGGAGAGGAGACTTCCTGCCTCTTGCAGCTTCAGTTTCCGCATCGCTCCAGACTCTGCCTCCGTCTTCATGTGGCTTCTGTGTCTCTGGTTCTCGAGCCCACCCTGCTCCAGGAGGACCTCATCCCGGTCCTTAACATTGTCAGGGGCCCTGTCTCCACATAAGGCCACAGTCTGAGGTTCCGAGTGGATGTGAATTTTGGGGGTCAGGGGACACGGTTCAACCTACAACACCCACCTCCCCTCACTCCCCACCACCCCCGTCTCAGACTACGGGACGAGGCAAGTAGCCGAGATGGGCAGGGGAAAGCCCTGAATTGGGACTTGGGTGACCTGGGCTCGAGGCTCCGCCACCAGTGAGCCAGGTGGCCTCAGGATTGCCACAACCCCTCTGGGCCTCCCTGGCCCTTCTGTCAGGCAGGTTGGCTTGTTTTGGGGGAAGCAGATGGACTAAGTCTCCAAATGAATCGATGGGCAGTAGCCACACAGGCCCTCGACTTCCAGGATCTGAGGCGTGTTATCAGCGCCCGAACCTGCCATGGGCACGGAAGGGTCGGGTCGGGTCGGCCCTCACGCGGGGCTGCAGTCCTGGGGGTGGTCATCTCAAGGCCCTCCCGGCTGACCCGTCCCCCATCTGTAGCTCTTAGCGGTTCCTGCACTTGTACCCCCTTCCATCCTCCAGACTAAAACCGTCCCATTGCCACCCCCGCCGGCCATCCCTGCCAGCAGCTTTCCCTCTGGCCTGACCCTCTGGGGCCGACACCATCTCCCAGCCGTGGTCTCAGCCCAAGAATCCCACTCCCCATCCCAGGGACCCACTTACCATGTCCAGCCAGCTCGCTGACCCCTACACTGCTGT